TCACCTGCCGCTGCTGCAGGCCCGGGCCGACAGCCACTACCTGCAGAACCTGGAGGCCCAGAGGGACGCTTACTCCGGTACGGCTCGGCTCCAGGTCTAGGTCTAGTTCTAGGTCCAGGTCTTTAGTCCTCCAGGTGTTTTCAGGTGGAGCTGCTGCTGAAACCGGACATTCCCAGAACTTTATGTCTCTCTGGAACCGGGTCTATCTGCCGGTTCGGCTCCGGTTTAATAATTGATTCTTTATGTCTTTAATTCCCGCGGACCAGAATCCGGATCAGTTCGGGTCATTTTCTGGTTTTAATCAACAACGAATTCATTAAATCAAATTCACGTTGAACCGGATTGATGTCTTTTATTCTGGCTCCGGATCCGGATCCGTTCGGTTCCTTTCAGGTTTTAAACAAACAGTAAATTTAACTTTTAATCTGCTCTGAACCGGATCCGGTCTCCCGGTTCGGTCCTTTTCTTTTGATTAGAAACTTTTTACATTCTGCTTTTAAACCCGTTTTCTCTTTTCATCAGAACACATTCGGTTCGGTTCGGTTCGGGTTTCACTGTCGGGCTCCTGAAACCACATGAACAGTGTTTATTAATGCTGTTGTTGTTTATTCATGAAATCATTGGACTTTATTTATTGTTTATATATTTATTCATATTAATCAGATAAAGATATAATAATCCATCCGGTGCTTTTTGTTGTTTGTTTGTTTGGTTTCCCGCCCTTGTCAATATCGGGTCAGTAATGAGATCGATAGCTGATAGGGTGATCGATGAGTGTGCGCTGACTGTGTGTGTGTGTGTGTCCCGCAGATGAAGAGTGTCTGTCCGACCGCAACGACTCCAAAAACTCCGCAAACTCCCAGAAGAGGAAAAAGAGGAGACACAGGTCAGGACTTTTATTGTGAAAATCATTTCCGTCCATTCACCTTTTTAAAAAACGAAACAATTATTTTTTTTATTTGATATAAAAACCTAAATAATTATATATTTGTTCTTTTATATAATTCAATTAACTGACATCTTTTATTGTGACTGAATTCGATTCTTTGTGCTTTTATTTCTTATTTAAAGAGAAAACGTTATTTTAAATAAGTTTATACAGAAGATAAAGAGGGAAAAAATAAAGTCAGACTTTATAATAAATAAAAGATTTAATAAGATATATTTAAACTACACTGTAAAACCTGATGAGTTAGTTCAACTCCTGTCACCTTAAACAGTTTAAATTTATTTACTCCAACAATTTCGGCATTTAGCTAATTTATTTATTGTTAAAGTAAATGAAGTTAATTGTATTTAAAACAAGTAAATAAATTACCTTCATCCAGCATTATTATTATTGTTATTATTATTATTCCAAACGTATTTAAAATGTGTTCACAGAATTTATCTGAATAAAGTCACTTAAATGCTTCTTTATTTAAATGTTGTTATTATTATTACATCACCCATCAAACAGCTGATGGACCATAAAAACTACTTATTATTATTACTACTACTATTACTACTATTATTGATTATCAGAACGGTAGCTAATTCATTTTGGGGTTTACTATTTTAATAAGAAGAAGAAAACGAGTCAGTGGAACAAACTAAAACCTCTGAGTTAGTTTTAATTAAAGTTTTCTGGAGGATTAAATTCTGTTAACTAACTAAAAAATCTAAATAATTAAACATTTTTGATTTTATATAAATAATTAAATTAATTTCGATCTTTTATTGTGACTGAATTCGATTCTTTGTGTGTTTTTATTTCTTATCTTTATTTTAAACATCAAAAGTTTTAGTTATTCAATCTATTTTAAATTGATTTAATAAGAAAAATGTAAAATAAATGAAAAGTGAAATAACTAAATTAATAAATAAATAAATAAATAATTAAGTCTGGTTTGAAGAACATACAGAAGATAAAGGAGGACAAAATAAACACGTTAAATCTGTGTTTTAAGTCAAACTTTGATTGTAAATAAAATATATAATGAAGAAATGGACACATATTGAAACCAGTCGACACGTTTCAAACAAATGAAAAATAAAAATAAAACTTGTTTCTACAGGACAGTGTTCACGTCGCACCAGCTGGAGGAGCTGGAGAAAGCGTTTCACGAGGCTCACTACCCCGACGTCTACGCCCGAGAGATGCTCGCCATGAAGACGGAGCTGCCCGAGGACAGAATACAGGTGGGACATCATCAATACCGGCAGCCGATCAATCACCAATAATCACACACAATTTTATTGTTATTTTTATTGTTTGTTTATTCTGCTGATCAATAATTCATCAGTTTTTTATTGATTGATTTTACAAACACTGAAAATGGAAATAAAGTAGATTTATTTACACTTTCAATATGAATCAGAATCAGGTTTCACATATAAGGTTTATAATAGTACAGAAAATATAATCAAATATAACGTAAAACATAAAAGAACAGAATTATTATTATTTTATATATTTCATAGTTTTACTGATCAACAATTCAACAAGTTTCACAACTAAAACAAAACGTATTTTCCAGGTCTGGTTCCAGAACCGGCGGGCGAAGTGGCGAAAGCGTGAGAAGTGTTGGGGCCGCAGCAGCGTGATGGCGGAGTACGGGCTGTACGGGGCGATGGTGCGACACTCCATCCCGCTGCCAGAGTCCATCCTCAACTCCGCCAAGAACGGCATGATGGGATCCTGCGCCCCCTGGCTGCTCGGTGAGCCGCATGCACGTCAGTGCCACGCACACGCACCACACCACGCATCAATACATCAGCAATACATTATCAATACATCAGCAAATCATCAGCAATACATTATCAATACATCATCGATACACAGCGACCACACACTTTAACGCACTGGTTCCCTCCACTCGGCATCGTTTAAGCTTCAGATCTAAAAGAACAAAAACAGTGAATCTGCAGTTATTGAGTGTTGTTTGTGTTCATTGATCAGTTTATCAGCTGTCATTGATCAATATGAAATATACTAGTATTTCATATTGGTTTTCTACAGGTTGGAACCAGAGCTTTAAACTAACTATTGTATATAATATATATATATGTATATATATATATATATAGTATTTTACAGCAATATTACAACACAAACAGCAGAAAATGAAATAATAATAAATTAGACAGAATATGAACTCAAGAGAAAACAAACACAAATAAATAAATTAAATTTAAAAAAAGTGAATAAACAAACTTTGTAATATTTCTGTAAAGAAGGTTTTTAAAGTGTTCGTCCAGAAGATGTTTGTTAGATTGTAAACTGAATAATAAGAACATAGTAATAACGGCATTACGTGTCCTCCATATTATAATAATAATTAACAGCCTATAATTCTGCCAATCTATTGATCAATACGATGTTAAAGATGTTTCCTAGCAGCAGTATAAAATGTGATTGTGGATCCTGCAGACTGAATCTCTGTCTCCGTCTCCGTCCTCACAGGGATGCACAAGAAGTCTTTAGAAATGTCCAAAAAGTGTTCCAGCCCTCCGGAGTCGGACTCTACGCGCTGCGACTCGTTCTCGGAGGGACGCGGCGGTGAGACTCGGGAGGCGGAGCGTGAGGAGGAGGAGGAGGAGATGCTGGAGATGGAGGAGGAGGACGTGGAGGAGGAGGTGGCCATCGACCTGTCCAGCTCCTCCAAACAGCAGCAGGAGGCCGGCAGCTCGATAAGGCCCGCCTCCTCGCCGCGGCGGCAGAGTGAATCCGACGAACACAGCTGAAGGTCGGAGGAAGAGTCGTGATGGCGGCGGCAGAGGGAGCACGGGGACGGAACAGCCATTACGTTGTTTGTTACTATGAAAGTAAAAGCTCGTAAAAAAAAAAATCGTAAAGCTTTACGGGAAAGGGTACGTCTGTTAGCATGCTAACATATTAGCAAAGATTAAGCTAATATAAAATTAAACATTAGAGAACTTTTAACATTTAATAATATTTTAACATTTAATTATATTTTAACATTTAATAATATTCTAACAGTGTTAGCTAACATGATCACTACAAAAAACTTGAATTAATTGAAATTAATTAAATCATGAAAATATTTCCACTGGATCAATTAATGTTTTCTTTTAGCATCTTTACTACATTAATTAATTAATTTAAGTGCTAATATTTGTTTAGCATAACATAATTCATAATGTGCTAGCATGCTACGATATGTCAGTAAAGTTACAACATTTCATGTTAATGTATAATATTAGTGTGCTTTAATGGTTAATAAAT